TTGAATTTTTTGTTTTATAGAACACGTAAATGGTATCTTCCTGAATCATGTGGTCAAACATTGTTAAGTTATGAGTCAAGTCATTGGGAATATGCAATAAAAAAATGCAACTATTCTACTTCACACGAGACCATTAATACGTAAACAGAAAGAGAAGGTAGTCGTTTTATATTAGAACCAAACAGACTGAGAAATTATAGACAAAGGATTCATAAAGGCCGTACATAAATGTTCCTCATTGTTCTCTACTGAAATATAAGTAGGTAGTGCTCAAGTTCAACCCAATGATACACAAGGTTGAAAATCATACTCGCATAGATATGCAAACATATCCCAAGAGAACGCATCTCTGTAAACTGGCAAGTTAAATGAGAAAGTGTAGTGATTTGGTGTACTGTTGTTGGAGTTGTTGTAGTTGCTTGATGTTGACTAATTTTTCTTTCGGTGGACAACAAATGGTGGTGGATGTGGGGAAGATGTAAGCTTTTCTAATGATGTTTCTCCACGAAATAACTTGTAACAATGGATGAGAAAAGTGGAAAATTATAGTCGTAGATTATTCCAAGGAACCAATTGTAAACTTCATTGGGACTGAGAAAATCTAATTTAATTGTCAGCCAAAACAGCTGATACCAGAATTTAAAATACCTTAGCTATTTTGACAAGCTGATCCTGATTGTCATGGCTATAGAAGAAGGGCTCCTTCGGGAAAATCTGCATGTTAAAGAAAATGGAAAATTAAATAACATAATATTAGCAACATGAAAATTTAGAAGAACAATTCTTACCATTCCAGCAAACATACAACCCAGGGTCCACATGTCCAGAGAATAATCTTCGTCTTGCAAGTCCACAAGCAGTTCAGGCCCCTTAAAGTATTTAAATGAAAATTCAAAAGACAAAAAATCAATAGTAGTAAATTGAAAATAGAAACCTTTTTGACTATCTAAATCGGCAGCAAAGTAAAACGCAAGCATAGGCATCTTTGAAAGCATTATGAGCATATAGAACAAAATATTAGTCAATCAAACAGAACTTGAAGCCACTCGACCATTGTATTCTTTGTTCGAATGATAGAATTCAGCAAGGCTGCAATCAATAAGCCGAAGTTTTCGCAGCTCATGATCAATCATAACATACTGAGATTTGACATCTCTATGTATTTTCCCTAAGAACGGAAATAATCTAATGCTTGCAGTTTTAGAATGTGGTTGATCAATCAAGCATTAGACACCTCAAAGACTTTGGTAACAAGCCAACAATCAAGAAACAC